ATTTCAGGCTTTATATGGGTACAAGCCACCTATTATGGTTTGGCCTACAGATACTACTCTACAGTCAGTTAGTGAAATCATGCATAGTAGAGAACATATGAGGCAATTGGTTAAACATCAATTGGAATTAGCTAGCAACAGAATGAAACAACAAGCAGATAAAAATAGATCAGAAAGAAATTTTTCTGTTGGAGATTTGGTTTACCTTAAATTGCAGCCATATAGGCAGTCTTCAATTGCCCTGCGAAAAAATTTGAAATTAGCAGCTAAATATTATGGCCCCTACAAGGTATTGGAAAAGATAGGGGAAGTTGCTTATAAATTAGACTTACCAGCCTCATCAAGACTCCACCCAGTATTTCATGTCAGTCTCTTAAAGAAATTCATCAGGGACTCCTCGCGTGCTGCAACAGATCCTCCTGCCATATAAGATGATGGTCAGTTCTGAATCAAACCCTTAAAAGTTATTGGGAGACGAATCATAAACAGAAATGGAAAACCAATCACTCAACTTTTGGTTCGATGGCAAAATCTGGATGAAGCAAATGATACTTGGGAAGATTATTCGGTCTTACGAGGGCAGTTTCCTACGTTTGATCCTTGGGGACAAGACTCTTCTCGTGGGGTGGGTATTGTTGTAGTTGGAGAAGAAAGGGAAGATCGAGGAAGTGAGCGGGATTCGAATGAGCATGAATTAGGGATGGAGGAGGAACGAGGGTTAGGGATTATGGGAAGTAATTTGGGAATTGAATTGAAAGAGAGAAATGAAGCATGAGGGGAAAAAGAATTAAAATTACCTAATGGGTTGAAGCAGGCTAAAGTCATCCAGAACAAGGAGGATAAGCCCAACCGTATGGTCCAGTACCTTTGATAACAAAGAATCAGTTTGTTAGGCAATATGTTAGTGAAGAATGCCAGCTGGCATTTGTTATATTCCTGTAACAGCCTGTATGAAAATAAAACTGCTGTGTAGACAATATTTTCCTTTATGAAATGAATGATGCATTTTTCTTCTCTATCAACTCTCTCTTTCGTCTAAATTCTTCTCCTAAACCTTTTCTTTTCTTTCAATCTATAACATAATACTCCCTATAAATCTTCCCTGCATTAGAGAGAAACACATGAGGCCATTGGAACCAGGCAGTTCAGAGTCTTACACTTAATGTCAGGAAGATATTTTCGAATGCTGATCAAGTGTTGTTTCTCGAACGTTTGGCCAGATTCCAAGAAGATGAATTAATTAGGAAAAGGAGGTGCAGGAGAAGCAGGAACTAACCTGGAGGCATTTGGAAGATGTGGCTGCATCTACCACCCTAACCAATGAGGCAGTATTGGTTTCAAGATTCATCTCTTCTGTCGCCGTTGCAACTGTCACCGCCAGGGTATCAAATAGCGTTCCGAAAACGCTATAGCGGCCGTTATATAGCGGTCGCGCCACCGTCTGAAATCGTTTTTCATGGTTTTTGCGGGTGGGTCACCGATTCACAGCAATATCGATCAATTGCGTCCGCGATATAACGGGAAACGGACGATTGCGCCAATAACGGGACGCATCGACCGTTATTCACCCGTGATTCCAAGACAAAAACAAAAATAAACATTCCCTCTGCAATCAAGCATTCAACCAACCGTATACAAAAACAAAAATCAAAATGAATAGAATATAGACAAAACTATTTAGTGAACGGTAGAATCAAATACCCATTACCCACGCATCTTACCAAAAACCAATCGGGAAGGGGAAGAGCCGAAAAAATAAAGCCCAGTCAGTAGAAACTAAGAAGTCTTCTATCCGTCGAGCTTCGCCGCCGGTGAAGGAGTAGATCAAGCTTATCGCTTCCATTTAAGAAGGTAAAACTGTAAAAGTTTTTTTCCCGCTTAGCTTAGGAAGATTGAAGATACAATCTTCATTCGGGGATTTGGGGTTTCAAATATGCAATCTTCCATTTAGTGAAGATTGAAGAAGAGTGAAATGGGTGAGAGTGAAACGAAGAAGATTGAACTGGGGAATGGGGCTGGGAAGAAGAAGCGAAGAACTGAACTAAACTAGTGAAGAAGATGAGAGAAATGAGAACAAGGGCCTACCAATTATATTAAAAAAATAGGTAAAATTATCTCATTCACCAGTGAAGAAAATTTGTTTTACAAACTAGGTTTTAAAGAATCTAAACTTATAATATTGTCATATATTTTATTTAAGATTTATGAGTTAGCATTAGAATTTAATTCTTAATTTTTTTTATTCTTTAATTTAATTCTTAATTTAGATAGTAAAGTTTAATTTTCATTTAATTTAGTCTTAATTTTAGTAATTAAAATTTCAAATATTTAAATTTTACACTTTTATTTTAATTCTATTTGATTTAATCATTTTAAAAATCTTTAAAAATTATTCTTTTTAATTATAATTATTTTTATTATATTTTAAGATAAGTTGTGCAAAATTTTAAAAAAAATCACGACCGCGACAACCGCAGTGAACGCGATGGCATCCGTTATATCAGCGACCGCGATAAACGCGACGCGACCGAAAACGTGTCCGCGAACGCTATTTAAAACCTGGTCACCGCTACCAGCCCAACTCTAAAGGCATCGACGGGCAGTTGAGAGAAGCTACGAAAGCAACTTGTAAGAAATCATATTAAATCCATCATAGTGAAATGATTTAGTGTGTAGCTCAAATGGGTGCACCATGGCAATCAGTTGATGTCACTGCAGCTTTTAACTCTCCGGGCTCAATGACCAAGCAGGGCCGTGGCTGAGGCAGCGCGAACCGCGCAGGGCCCCCAAAAAATGGGCCCTAAAAAAGTATATGTATAGTGGCGTTTTTCCAATAAACGCCACTATAGATGGACCTATTGTGGCATTTTTAAAAAAACGCCACTATTATTACGGTTTTATTGATAAAACTCCATTATAGATGGATCTATCGTGGCATTTGTCAAAAAAAGCCACTATTGTTGCCCCGAAATCGAATATATTTAAAAAATAAAGACCCTTTATAAGAATTTGTATAGAACCCCTGAAAACCCAACCACGGCCCTGTGACTAAGTGGCGGGGTTCTATAATATGTGGATATCGAGGTTGTTTCTTTTTTCTTTCTATTTTTCCAATTCTGAAATCACACATTTTTTTTCGCCTAGCTCCTTCCTCATCCATGGCTGAGGAGCAAGTTTGTACCATAGGGGATAATGGCTCGTTGGATTTACTGTCGGGTATTTTTTATATTATTATTATTCTTTATAACGATGCAAGGATATATAGACACAAATTTACCAATATTTATGAAACATAACTTTTTTTATTTTATATTTTTATATTCGTTGTATAATTTGTATTACTATTTAGGACTAATTGTCTTGAATAACAATATTGTTTTCAAGGTATGTAGCATAACCGTGGTATGTCAGCTTATTTTAAATATATAATATTTGAAACACAAATAGGACAATCGATTGATATAATATACATGAAAATATGGGATCTAACATGTTTAAACATTCAATATCCTTCTATTCGTGAGGACTTAATTAATATAAATATTCAAGACCCTTTCATGGGAAAGACCTTCATGTCACCTGCAAAACCTTTTTTATATAAAAAAGTTAAAAAGGCATGGAGTGACCCGAAGATTTACGTAACAAAACGTTTATGTTACATGCATGAAGTGGTGCTATGTGCGTTATAGACGTATAAATCGTTTTGGATACTATTTGCATACAATCATTGAAGAAAGATTTGCTGGACTTCAGATTTTATTTGGATGAAGAGTGATACCTGCACATGATACAATTCAATTGGATGTTTTTGCTCCAAGAGTTTTAGAAAGCCCCTTTATGACGGGTTTTTCTTTAAGAATTTCCTCCCTTTCAAGGTGCCATTTCTTGGACATGTTCTCGGCCTGAAAAGAAAAATACAAGTTTGGTGTTAGCGCAAGGAAGCTTTGATTAACATACTCAGGTTCTTAGGGGTAAAAGTTGTTCTCTAATCATTTCAAATTTATGCTGAACCGTGTCTTTTCCTTTTGTTCTGATATCATCACTCTGCCAAAAGCAGAAAGAAAACAAAGATAATGAGAAATAAGAAGAGAAAAAAAATAACATTTTGTCAATTCAATGCATTTACTAATTCAATACACATGGGAAAATACTAGCAAATATGAACAGGACATGTCATGGAGAAGATGGATGTTGAAAAGTAGGAAAAAACATTAATCAAATTATAACTTGGCCGAGTTAAGTTTACGTCACTGAGTTAAAAATAATCCCTCTGGTTTGGAACCAAGTTATGTTGAAATGTTAATTTGAAAAGCATGTCATCAGAATAACAGATGTGTCGATTAACACTCATAACTTGGTATTGAATGGTCCACCAAAAAGTAACATCGTGGAAATTGTTAACATTAACCAAGTTCCAATTGATCATCGATCTAATGGACGACAAACGACAAATCTCTATTTATATGAAAAGAAAGGCAATAAAAAACAACAGGAAAATGGTGATAAAACACTCTAGAACCATAGATATCCAAAAATCTTGAGCAATTTCTATCTTTTCAAAGCTTGCAAGATGAACTTTGGAGGAAACTGAATCCACCATATTGTTCAGGCAGTTCAATTACAGGTTTAGATAAACCAAACCCACAATATTTCTTCACACTTTAAGCCAAAAACACAGAGCACTGAAAAAGTTATTAATGTGGGTTTAATAAGTAATGCTCACAGTGTGCAACTCCAACTTGGAGGCTGCAATCCCAAACATCAAGGCGGATCCACCGAATATCACTGTAGTTGCAACTATAAATGCCATTTTAATCAGGTTTCAAATCACGGTCGAGTTTTAAGTCATTTCGGGTTTATCGAAATTGTGGCCGTCACGGGTGTTATTGCATCCGTCGCCGGCGCTATTGGGCGTTATTGCGTGTGTAGCGGGTAACTCGGAGGCGGCGAAACCACTATTTCGCAGACGAAATCACATTTTCGGACCGTGATTTAAAACCATGATTCCAACTATATAAAATAAACACAAAAGCTGAGTATTATAAGCCTTAGCTAAGTATTTTTGGTACAGAAAGGCAATTGAAACTAGTAATCAAAATGTTCCCGAATTCAAATTAGATGGCAATAAAGCTAATCAACACCAAATTTCCATAGTTGTACATGATATATCAGTGAAGCTAAAAGAAGAGATAAATGAAAGAACAAACTCCGCTTAAGTCCTTCAGCAGCAGCTTTCAACTTCTCCGGATTGAGAGGCGTATATTTGTCCTTTTGCAATTCATTAGCCGTTGATGCCGAGATGGAATTCTCCGTACTCGACAGCTCCCACCTGCAAATTTCTCCATCCAAATACAATAGGAAAAAAGAAAAAGAAAAGAAAACCCAGAATTTGTTTTAAAAAGAAAGGGCCAAAGCTGTGACCTTTTGGGGCCAAAAGTGACCTGGGGAAAAGAAAGGTACGCCCTGAGAGGATTCAAGGCATCAGGGGAAGAACCGGAGCCATTGTTTGGATTAGAATGGAGGGCCCACTTGGAGGCCCTTGAGAGAGACGAAGGATCGGACGGTTGCCTGAAGACCTTGGAAGGTAAAGAATGTTTGAGGACCTCTGGAAGTACATCGGCCTGAGCTTGTTGCTCGAGCGGTGGTGGATTCGAAGAGAGGTTTTTGGGGGTTTTCTCCGCCAAACGGTTAACGGCTTGTTTGGTTTCCTGGAAAAAGAAGGCGGCTTCTATTGCTGCTTGTCTGGGATTGTTTTTAATATAATATACAGTGTTATCGAATACATTATAATATATTTAATAAATTCAGTTTAGCGCTATCGGAAATGTTGAGTAATAATAATTTAGTAGGTTTAAATCATAAAGAAATATTAAAAAGTTTGACAATCGACAAACTTAGTTTGTCGGTTTGTGTCGATACAAATGAAAAATATATCGCTCCATAGCAATATTACAGGTAAAAATATGACAAAATCGGTCTCGAAATGACAAAACCGGTAAAACGTTATCGGATATGTTGAAAGTGTCGATAATTTAATATAAGTATTGACACTTTTTGAATTTAAAAGAGAAGAAGTTATAGTGCCTAAAAGGTTTCGATATTTTATGAAAATGTATCGATCCATAACAATATAACAGTTAAAAATATGACAAAATCGGTCTCAAAATGACAAAACAGGTAAATAACTACCGGAAATTTTGAAAGTGTCGATACTTTAATATAAGTATCGACACTTTTGGAATTTAAAAGAGAAGAAATTATAGCACCTATAAACTGTCGATACTTTAAAAAAATGTATCGATCTATAACAATATAATAGGTAAAAATATGACAAAACATGTCTCAAAAATGACAAAACCGGTAAAAAGATACTCGATATGTTGAAAGTGTCGATAATTTAATATAAGTATCGACACTTTTGGAATTTAAAAGAAAAGAAGTTATAGCGCCTATAAAGTGTCGATACTTTAAAAAAATGTATCGACACTTTTGGAATTTAAAAGAAAAGAAGTTATAGCGCCTATAAAGTGTCGATACTTTAAAAAAATGTATCGATCTATAACAATATAACAAGTAAAAATATGATAAAACCGATCTCAAAATGACAAAACCGGTAAAGCGCTACCGGATATGTTGAAAGTGTCGATACTTTAATAAGTGCGCGTAATAAATTATCGGTACTTTCAAAGAAATAGGTAAATATTCTATCGAAAGTATCAACACTTGACATAAAAGTATCGACACTTAGGTAGTTGTATCGATTAAATATAAATAACATATCTGGTGTAAATATAAAGGCATAGCAAATTTCCTCTGAAAATAGATAGAGTTTTTGAAATCGAACCGTAATTGTTGTTGCATTTTAGAAGGCGTTTCTACGGTAAAATTTTGTTTGTTTGCTACTGCAGTCGAATCGAAAGGTACGTTGTTGAAACCTTAGTTTTTTATTATTACAGTAATCGGAAATAGGGTTTTTATGTGTTGTTGTTTGGGGTTTTCGAAGTAAAGAAGCATTTAGGACCGATTACATGTAGAAAGTGATATTCTAGGTAGATGATAAATATCGATACTTTTATTTAATATTATAGGTAAAAAAATGATGTTATAGGTAAAAAATGATATTATATGTAGAAAATGATATTTTAGGTTGTATAAATGTGCCGACACTTGTTTTAGTGGTCATTCAAATTCTTTTGAAGACCAACCGTTTTATCACAAAAGTGGTTATTGATTTTTGTATATTGAATAAAGTGTATGTAAGCAATATTTTATTTGATTTGCGCAAACTGATATATGAAGGAAAAATGAAGTCAATGGGTGGAAAGCAACCAAATGGTGGATATATGTACTTCTAGTAAGTATTAATGTTTTTTTGTTATTATTGTTGAAATGATAATTGTATTAAAGTATTTAAGAACTTTAAATTGATTATAAATTTTAAATGTTGACAGTATGGTCGAATGTAAAAGGATGAAGGAAGATGGCACATACAACGGTTCGGTATGTAAAATAAAATTGACATTGAGTATTATTTAGCGTTAATGTATTGATTAAGAAACGTTTATGCGTAATATTAGATGACAAGAGATGTGAGGTCGAAATGGAATTCGATGAGTGATGTTGAAAAGGAACCTTACATCACACAGTTAATGAATGATAGTAAAGAATACAAAGAACGGAGGAAAGCACATGAAAAGAAGGTATTCATTAAACTTGTAAATATGTTGATACAAGATATATAAGAACAATAACATTATATATTGTTAAAAAATGTAGGAAGTGTCAACAAGGTATAACATAAAAATGGTGAATTCATTAATTGAACACCTTAAAGAGAATGATCAGTTGAATGTACTGAGGGAAATAGGGTTTGGATCATTGATAGGAGTAGGGGATCGACAAATTCAGAGGGAATTGTGTCGATCCTTGATGGAGCAATTTGATGTCAAACAATGTATTGCTAAATATAGTGATTATTCATTCCCTCTAGGGGATTATCAACTGCTGCAGCCGTCTTGGGGGCACAAAACAAAGACAAAAGTGTTGTAGAAGTCTGTAGGAGTAAGAACTGGAAAGCACTTGCCTCCAAATATGGTTTGAATCAGAAGGTGACATATGTTGAAGTTGAAGAGGATATCAAAAGTGGATTTTACAGGGGGGATGACCTGAAGGCTCGTGTTTTATTGTACCTTGTCGGGATATTTCTTTGTCCAACGGGTGATACGTCAACGAACAAGGACAATATGAAGCTCATTTGCGATGAAGGCTTAAAGGGTGAATTCAATTGGGCTGAATATTTCCATTCGAGATTGATTGAATCAATAATCACCTTTCAAAAGGGCAGCCAGAGATACCTCAAATGGTGTATAGCAATCTTAGAGGTAACTGAGTTGAAGAATGTTTTTATTTTTTTATATAAAATGATAGTATAGTTATTATATAAAATGATAAATTTTATTATAAATGCAGGTTGCACTATTCGATTTTTGGTCGGGCTGTGATAGTTTGCCGGCTTATGAAAGAAATGGAGTGGCACGCATACGTGCATGGGGGAAGGAAGAGGTGGTTAGAGTGATGGCGAAGTTGAAGTTGGATAGACCGAGGAAGCTAAAAATGGTAATAAATGTAATTAAATAATATTAAGAATATAATCAATGTCTTAATACAAATTTAATTTTGAAGGTTATTGTCAATGAGGTAGAGGAGGTAGAAAAGGCAGAGGAGGCAGTGGAGAAGGAAGAAGAGATGGTTGGAGGGGTGGATGACAGTCAGGGGAATTACGGTGAGGGAAAACAGAGTAAATTTGACATTTGGATGTCTGCATTGGCTGATATTAAAAAAATCCTTTTTGATATTCATTAAAGACAATCAAGAGTCGAAGAGACACTTGAGAGGCATAAGGGGGAAGTGGAAGGAAAGATAGATTTAGTGGTGAAAGAAGTTGAGGTGTTGAGGGAACTTAATCTGTTGACGGGTGGAAAAATTGATGTAGTTGTCAAGGAGGTTGTGGAATTGAGGAGTGAACTTACGAGAGTGAAGGAGGTAGTTGAGAAAAACTTGGATGAAGGGGGAAATGAACGGTGAAATAAAAGAGATGAAGAACTATGTAGAACAAAAATATGATGAAATGAAAAAATTTGAAGAAGAGAAGATGAAGGAAGAAGAAAAGATGGAGGAAATGGGGAGAAATGATGTCACTAACATCTATACACCGGAGAGTGTTATAGATGCATATTTGGATTTGGAATGTCCTGCACCCCAGAAGAAGAAGCAGAAGGCAAGTTGAATAAAAGAAAACTTAATTTGATTTTTATCATGTTGTTGTGACAAAAATTTGTATGTAAAACTGTAGGTTGAAAAAGTGGTTATTCCAAGCGGAATTGAATTGGTCGAAGCTGCAATTTGTGATTATTTATGGAATAGTGGGTTAGAATTGGGGTAAGTTAAATATATTGCTTTGTGAATATTTAAATATTTCATGACAATATATTAATCCTAATGATTCATACAGATATTCTGTAATCTCAATGGGAAATCAATACGCTAGTGTATCCGATGTTGCAATGTTGAAGCCTAGTGAATGGGTTGGCGGTGTGGTAAGTAGAAATTGATTAAAAGTTAAAACCTATTGAATATGTTCTTATTGTGTAATTAATTTTGTTAGGTTATTGATTTGCTCGCCTGGACAGTATGCTACGATTCTAAAAAGTCACGCCGGATGATTTGTTATATTCCATACCATTTAGCGGTGAGTTAAATTAATAAATGTTGAAAAGTAATGTTATAGACGGTAAATTAATAATGATTGTCACGTAATTGCAGCAACATGCGTTGGACAACATCTGTAATGTTGAGGGTATTGCAAGTTTTTGGGGTGCCATGTTGCATAACTATATGAAATTTACTAACTGTGAGAAGGTAATACACCATACAAATAGGCATAAATGATGTTTTTGGATATATAATGTTGAATTTTGTCAAATTGGGTGTGAAATTTGTTGCAGATCATGATCACAATAAACCACAATAATTCACATTGGTATCTGTTGGTGTTGGATATGGTAGGTCGTGTTGCAACTGTATATGATAGTCTGTTTACATCTGAAGCAGCTAAACAAAGAGTGAATAATACTAAGAGATTGGTATGTATGAAAGGAAATTATGTAAATTATAATGCATAATTTGTTTGGATCATAACTTCATATTTTTTAATGTAGATGAAAATATTAGATAGTTATAATAAGAAACGCATTTGGGTAGAAGCATGTGGATCTCTAGGAAATTTCCTCTTGCAAAGATTCAAATGCGTGGATCATAAGATGAACGAGCAATCAAATGGATATGATTGCGGCATTTATGTGATGATGTGGATGGAATCGATCGGTTCTACAGGGGCTACTGGTGATTTTGTAAGTAGAATTAAAAATTAGTTTGCGGCTAAATTGTTAAAAGTCGTAAATTGAATGTTGTGGTTTACAATACTTAACGTACTGACAATTTGAATATAGGTTGTTGGAGAATGAGATCGTATGCGAATATTAAACGATCTTGTACGCCACAATCAAAATCAACTAAGAGAGAAGATGACAAAAGCTGACATGCTACACAAGAATAACAAAAGGAAGGGATAATGTAAATGTAGGGCTAATTTTGTATAAAAATTTTAATTTTGTATACGATATATAATTTTGTATGTGAATGTAATTATTTATGAGATGGGAAAAGTTATCCAAATGTTTTTT